CACAGTTAAGCTTTGCTACCTTGACAATGCAGCCTGTTCATTATCATAATAAAATACAGTCAGTCAAACATATGGAAAAAACACACTGCTCAGTTCAAATATGTAGTAAAGTCTGTGGCGTTAAGCGTTATCACCGTACCGCCGTGATGTTATGCAAAACATTTTGTTTTACGTGGATATTGGAACACCAGTGAAGTAGGCTACATAATAAATAATATTTTGGCATTCAAATATATCGCGAATACGGAAACATTTGATTTTGTGTCAAATGAGAGACCCAACGTTGGTTTCAGTTTCGTTTTAGCCTAAATGAATTCGTTTTGGCTTGTCGTTTATATTGCTATAGCTTCTTATATTTTTAATTCTCATTCTTTTTTAAATACTGTTAATTGAAATGATTTGTCGTGGAGTGAGGGGAACTAAAATAGCCTAGCTATGTTTACAGTGTTTATTAAAATGTTTGTAAACATTTTGCGTCCGCATTAGGCCTATTTCTGAAAGAAATAATAAAATGCGACTTATACTCGACTTGCATTTTTTTCTTCTAAAAAACGTTTATTTTTTATTTTTTTACGTTTATATATATATATATATATACGCGTAGCGTATTTTAACCATGCAGCAAACCTTTTTAAATATTTTGATAAATTACTGAAAAAAAATGAATAAATGACTTTTTAAACCGTTTAACTGATTGTATTATTCGGTCAAAATTTCATACGGTCGGTTTACGGTTAACCGGTTAAAATGAACATCCCTAGGTTCAACCTTAATTTTATGAAGCTATGAGAATACCTTTTGTGCGCAAAGAAAACAAAAATTACGACTTTACTCGATTTCTTCTCTTCTGCGCCAGTCTTCGACGCGCGTTAACGACGCGATTGAATGTGGTAGTTGCATTGTTGTCTATGCAGGGTCAGAAAGCTCTCAAATTTCATCAAAAATATCTTAATTTGTGTTCCGAAGATGAACGAAGATCTTACCGGTTTGGAATGACATGAGGGTGAACAATTAATGACAGAATTTTCATTTTTGAGTCAACTATCCCTTTAAAATAGAAAAAACTATATTGTCAACCCAGCCATAGTGAAGTGTCATTTTTTCCATGTTTAAATACTTTCTCCTATCCCATTTTAATATCTGACGATAAGCCTATACAAATAATTCACCCAAAAATGAATATTCTGACATTCCTCACTCATCCTCAACCTGTATGTTATTTTTCTCCATGCAACAAAAAAAAATGATTTTTTTTTTTAATGTTAAAAAAACAACAACAACAACAACAACAAAAAAAAACACATCAAAGCACCAAAGTCATGGGGTTAAAGACATTAAACATGCCGCTATTTTCGTAGTGTCACACAAAAACCTGAGGGTGAGTAAATAAAGACAGAATTATAATTTTTGGGTGAACTATCCCTTTAATTTCCTAAGAAGTTTAAATGTGGCTCTACAAAAATTGGTGTCTTTGAACATGTCTAACATGGCAACACTGACTCAACTAATAGCATGTGTTTAGGGTGGGAATCTGTATGAACAGTCCATTTTAAGGCAGTCAGCAATTATATTTGGTGCTTTTAGTGGCATGAACAAGACACACTTCACCTTCAAAGTAACTGTATATGAATGAACTGTATATGCGGTCATAGAACAGACCTGTCCAGCTCTTTCTCCAGCTGCTGCTGTTTTTTCTGTAGCTGTTCTTTCTCTGAGTGCAGGGTGCTGCTCTCACTCTGTAGGCTGATCTTTTCTTTCTGCTGTTTATCAGCCAGCTGCTCTCTCTCTGACCTCAGAGACGCACACTCCCTCCTCAGGCTCTCACAGTCCTTCTGCAGCCGCTCCAGCTCGCTCGCTGCATCTCACACACACACACACACACACACACACACACACACACACACAAATAAATAACACACACACACACACACACACACAATTAAATACATACACAAAGACATGCACACAAACGCACAGATATAGCACATGTGTACACACACACACACAGACACAGACTCACAACGCTACTCTGTTACATAACGGTGGAAGTGATGTGAGAAATGTGAGTCATCTTCTGAATATCTGTCGGATTGCTGCAAACACTGCTGTGACTGTTGTTGGATGAACCTAGGGCTTGATTGTAACCTCCACAAACACATTATATCATTCATCAGGTTTCTGAGAAGGGAAGACAAATTCCCCAAAGAGATTATGAACGTGCAGAAGACATAAAACAGCCTTAATTGAATTGGGAAAAAATACAGAATTTTTGTCCGATGAGGTTATAGTCATTTAATTATTTATTTTTATTAATTTGTTCCATTCAAATCTTAATCTTGAAATTGCATTTATTTTTAAAGGGAACAGGTTACATTTTTGTATCCTGATTAAATGAATACTTTCAACATTGTACAATAATGTTTGCATTATTATTATTATTATTATTATTATTATTATTATTAGATGCTCAGAAAATTGTGATGTGTTAATGCCAAGTTGATGATGATTATATTTAGTATTTTTTTTATTAGAGGTATTTTTTTTTATTTGTAATGTATAGTTGTTGTTGTTGTTGTTATTATTATCATCATTATTATAAGAGGCTCAGAAAATTTGGCCATGCAAATTTGATAAATCATATTATATATATAGTTATTATTATTACTACTACTACTGCTAATAATAATACATACTATGATGATGATGATGATGATGATTGTTATTAAGTGCATTAAGTGATGATATGATGAAGATGATTATTGTTATTAAGTGCATGAAGTGTATTAAGATTATTATTAATTCATATTATCATTATCAAATTCAATATTCTTATTAATGTGAAATATAAATATAGATGAATTTGCATTTAGGTATACACAATACATGGATGAGAAATGTTGAGGTCCTTACATGACTTTTAATATTTAAAGAAAGCAGTTTTAAGATGTAGGCTTAAAATGCTATAGGCCAATCATCTGCAATGATAGAGGTCTGTGGGGTTGTGGGTACCTTGCTGCTTGGCAGCTCTGTCTCTCTGCTGGTTCTGCTGCTGGTGACTGGCCTGTACACTGTTGAGCTCATGCTCATACTTGTTTGCAGCCAACTGCCATTTCTCCAGCTCAGAAGTTAGCGTTGCTAGGTTCCCTTTCAGTGCGCTGACCTCATGCTCTCGCTCGGCTGCAGTTTTCTCCATAGTGCGGCGCAACACCTGCACTTCCTCCTGAGCTGTGTGCGCTTCCTGTCGCAAGCTGAAGATTGAGCTGTCCTTCTGATCCCTGAGATTCTCCATATCTTCCTGCAGCTTCTGGAGCTGAGCTGAATGCACATGTAGACGCAAAGACCAATTGGTATAATACATTGTTTAGTAAATATAACTTTACTGAAGACATACACACGCTCCTTGACTTACTCTGTAAGACCTTTATCTGTTTTGCTGACTCCTCCGCCTGCTGCTTATTGGCTCTTTTCTCCTCCTCCAATAGACCTGTAATATACAGCACAGGTCATTAGGGGGACCTGTTGAGCATGACTGCCATTCTAAATAAATTTCAAACGTTCACAAGCTTATATAAATATGCATATAATAACTAAAATAAAAATAAAAATAATAATAATAATAAAAAAAAAAAAAAAAAAAAA